TGTCCTTTTACAAAGAAACTTCAGTAATTGTAACTATCTATGATGGTTTTTTAAGTTAAAATGTATAGAAGGATTTCTGCGCAGATCCCCACCACAACATGCATATGTAGAAGTAGGTAAATATAAAATATTTCACCTACATCTTCACAAATATGATTTATTCTGTGTTCACAGCGAATTATGATCGTATAGTTCCAGAAATGTTTAAACTTCCCTCATTTCTTTGGTCTTAGAAAATAATTTCACAACACGAAACAATATTTTTGAGGCTTTCATTCTTCCGTATAGTACATATAGAGTAGCTTGTTTGTTTTTTTGTAATTTTTCGACTGTCTTTTCTTTTAATGCGATGTAACGGGTTCTGCTAGTAAATGTTTATTTCGCAAGACAGGAAAAGCACCATTTGCTCATCTGTTCTCTGACGTGCAACAACGAAGGTCCCCATATTGCAATGCCGACCACAGTACCTTGACGCAATAAAGTATTTCTGAGAAGGGCGGGACCGGCCAATAACCCAGAGCGACGCATATCTCGAAAGCAGATCTCAATTCCGCATACTCGTAACATTGCGACAGGTTGGATAAAAGTTTCCAGAGAGATAATGCTAAATATTGCTTACGCATTTGGCATGCAATGCCTACATCCTGTTAATAATACGAGTATTTGTATTATCTTATACCTAATTGTTTATAGTTGATGTAATAATATAATTTATTTCGAATTTTAGCTCGGAGGATGATGGCTACGCGATCGAAACGATCATCAGCCAAATAAATTGTTGACACGAGACATCTTTTATTTATCATCATCATTGCAATCTATCACTTTCTCTTCTTTTATCGTTGTCAATCGGGATAACTTCCAAAACCACATCATTCCAAGTTTCAATATTACTGAAGCAGTTGACCCGCTCGTCTAAACCATCAATATCAATATTGCTGACTTTAGCCAAATCTTCAATGTCTTCTACACTGATGTCATGTACTGTTTTTAGGCAAATCCGGTCTTCTAAATCCGCAATTTACAAAACAATTTTGATTGTATAGGTTGCACTTTATTTCAAGCACTATTCATCCAACCTACAGCATCCGAAACTGTAGTAGATTTTGCTTATTCAGAACTGTTGTGGCATCATCCATACTAGCAACTAATGAACTCAATAGTTCTTTCCTATATTTTTATTAAATACTTTTTTTGATACAGCGTACTTTTACCAAACTGTTTGGCTCATACGCAGTACATATGTACACAATAATATACAGTAAAAATAAGGAGGATAACCCCACTGGGCACCTCAATGGGAAATCAGGGTGAGGCGTTTAGGAGTTATTGCTTGTGTTGCTTTTTTCCATATACAAGATTTTGAACATTCAAATTATTCCCTGATACAGCGGTTGCCAGTAAGATGTCATATTTGGCGGAAATAATTTCTACATTTCTACATATGGAAACTTTTCGTTGCAATGACATGGAGCATTATCGACGAACAATAAAATCTCCCTGGTTGCATGTTACGTTTTCCTATTCTGTTTGTGTGGTAATGTACGAAATATTTCGTATGTTATCCATTCTTATACGCATAACGTAATGGTTATTCTTTGGTTTGATAATTAACCACCCTTGCATTTGCTTTTTTTCCAGCAAACTTTCTGGCCGTATTGCATTAAATAGAAGGCCAGTTTCATTCATGTTGTAGATGTCACATGGTCTCTTATTCTTTAATGATATCGGAATTCCGCAATTTACAGACACTGATCGTATTTGCATAGACTTCATCGCTTTCACCACTAACACTTAGGAAAACAATGTTGTGGAGAACATGAACTCTGTCGTGCCTCCTGCTGGCACTTAGTTTTTCGACTCCATGGTCCGATGCTATTCGAAGAGCTTTCAGCTAAAACTGCTCACTTATAAGAAGGCACTTTAAAACTTCCGCTATAAAACCATTCTAAAAGAAACCTGTTTATGGTTTCGTAAGGCTGCCAATGTTTCTTTTTAGTGTCTTTATTGACGTTTTCTTTTTCCATTTTTCCCCTTCACTCCAATGTTTCAAAGTCTGTCCCCTAATGACTAGGACTGTCTGTATGTGACTTTTATTGCAATTAAATATCTTAGTTAATACTTATTCAATAACAATAGTTATTAGTAACAACTTACTCAATATGTTTATTCAATATAATTGAACAGGGAGGTATTTGAAAAGAATGGAATGATGTAATTATTACAGTTTACAAGAGAGGGAACAGAAACTAGGTCGAAAACTACAGAGAAATGACATTCATGTCATCTTTGAATAAAATATGAATGAGAATTGTGAGATGTAGACTGGAGAGAGAGGTAAGGGAGAAGGATATATTACCATGCAATTAAACAGGGCTCAGAAGTGAAATAGGAGTAATGGATAATATTTACACGCTGAACTGTAGTATAGGAAGGGAGATAAAAGTAAGAAAGAGAATCATACAGGCTATATATATTGATGTGAAGGCGGCCTTTGACACTGTGAACAGGGAAAGGCTGTAGAACAGTACGTTAAAATTAGAAATCGTAGAGATTATTACCAGAAGGAAAATTTTGCAATATGTTCTGGACCAAGAGGTAATACCGGGTTGTTCATTGAGTACCCTTATTTTTAATGTATATCTGGTACATTTAGAAGAGAAGTGAAGGAAGGGCCAGGATGGAAGGTATTTATTGATCAAGTAATTTTGTAAATTTGGATTTCATCTTATGAGTATAATGTGGTATTATTGGCAGAGAATGCCAAGGACTCTCATATGATGGAGAGGTTAGAAACAATTTTAGAGAATATTGAACTCGAATGAAATACGGATAAGACCAAAGTAATTGAGTTTTAAAAGGGCAAAAGAAAGAATAAATGTGAAAAAATAAATGGAAATGAAATATTTTAGAACGTTAACGATGATAAGGATTAAGTGTTTTGGCTTAACAAGGGGTAGGTCTCTGAAAAGCATAGTATAGCATACGAGAAATATGTAAGAAAGAGGTGGGGAATGGATGGAATGGAGGAATCCGGAAGCAATGCACGAAATATTTTTATGATGGATCCGAGGAATATACTATTGCACATCTAGTTACGTGGTAAAATGGGAGACAAAGAGGCAAAAAATGAGAATAGAGATGAGCAAATTAACATGTAAGTTTGAGTAAAGGATAAGGAGAGGGAGTGGAAATGAGTTAATAAAGCAAGTTCAAAGGGCAAGTAGGGTAGAGTAGGGTAGGCGAGTAAAATACAAGATTAAGAGGATGGGATTGGCTTAGGTAAAGAATTGATTCAAAAAGATAATGATCAGTTATTGCCGAAATATTGCGAAAAGGTAAGATACTCATCTTACAACAAGGAATCCAAGTGTACAAAAATTATTCATTTGGATGATGTTCCAAATTATTTAAAACGGAAATGTAAGGAAAGTGAAAGATAGCAATAAATAGGTTTGTAAATGAAACTAGAGCGAATATTGTGTAAATAGTATGGGCGTGAGGAAATGCAGGATCTGTGAGATACAAAACGAAGATCGGGAACATGTAAGAGAGATGTCGGGTTTTTGAGGAAGGAAGAGGAATGGGAAAGATAGAATGTTCAGGATAAGGTGAGGTGGATATGACAGGACAAAAGGGAATGAATCAGTATGGTAGAGAGCTGCAGGAAAATGCACAGAATGTTGTTTATTACTAAAAGCTACTTATATTATAATGTATATAGCCTGTATTGTATATATTAAGCGAATCCAACTATTGTATATTTACAAAGTTGTAAAAATAAATTCAAACACAACTTAAATAATATGCTACCATGCTCAAAATATATGTTAAAGGTCGACCCAAGTATTACGCACCGTATCATCAGTATTCTTTTAAAAATCGTTTATTACATTAATAATAAAATTGTAATCCCAGAGCACATATCGGAAAGTTCTTCTAGTCTTTTTAAAGCAGTTTTTCTTGATTCTCAGAACAAATGTTAAGTAGGTCGTTTTCTTTTCTTTTAAATGCTAAATGAAGCGTTTATACCACCCAAATGATCTTTTGCCTTCACTTGGGTTCGAGAAAAAATCTCGAATACGAAAACTCACGGAAAAAAGAACAGTTGCAGTATACGAAATCCTTGATACTAAAACAAGTTTCCTTGTATCATGGATCTGGTACATACTATAACTTCTTTTTTCGTGTAGCAGTGCTAAAACCACATGTACGTTCTCGCACATATTTTCACGCAAAATTACGAGAAAAATACATTAACGAAAAAATTGTACGAGACTCATACATGACCGTATTTCAAAATGTATCTTTAAGAAACAGATTGCGTTAAAGAAAAATCTCTATCTTTAATATGTAGCAGTAAGAAGACTCCGAAAAAAGTGTGAACTTTTACAATTTTCGAGAAATCAGGGTTCTCAAAGAACATGAGCATCGCACCATTCTTTTAAACGTCCTTTACATTATCCATCAACAAAAGTTAATTAAAAACAATGAAGCCATTTTTTTAATTTGGAAAATGTCCTAAGGGCTACGTGTAAAGTAATCCCCAAAGTTAAAATTTCGAATTCTAATTCAAGAGTCTGCGACTCCAGCCAAATGGATTGAGGTATATCAGTTTTGGAAAAAATCGGGTGCACGGTTTAGTCGCAAGCGTTGTTGCTGGTCGGATGGACAAGCATGCTTTGCCGTCATTCGATTTTTCTGTATCAAAGACCCGCAAAACGAGGATGGTAGATATTCCACGTAATAGAGGATTTTTTTCTAAATTTAGCAACTGGATTTATCCACTTTGTCGTTTCTAAGGCCCTGTAATAAGAGTTTTCGAAAATTCTGCGTTTTTTCGCGCAACATTATATAACTTTCTCTCTACTCCGGAGTTAGAAAGTAAAAACCAGTTTGCGTACTTGATAATAAAATAACGTTCCCAAAGGTGTATAATAATCATGTCTGGGCATGAAGGCAAAGCACAAGCTAGTTCACTTGATCTCATGTAGACTTACTGTCATGTCGCCTTTCCAGAAAACCGCGTCGTTTGCAACTTTCCAGGCAATCCTGAACTTGCGTCCGATTTCCTCCAGCACGCGTCTCTCGGGCCCCACAATTCGGCCGTGCGCCCCGTACTTTTTCATGTCCACGTCGATATACCGGTCTGACAGGACCGGGACGGTGAGCATGGCAGCGCCGCCGCCCACCCCGGCGAGAACCTTCGCCCGCTCCTCACACGCCCTCCCCGCGCACGCCAGGCGGCTTTGCACTGGCAGCGAAAAGGGGCGGCCGCGCACGCGGACTTCGCCGGCGATCTCCTCGCCCCCTTCCCTCAGGAAGGTGAAGGCGTAGACCTGATGCCGCGCGTGGAGAGCGCGCCCGATCTCGTTGACGTACACATTCAAAGGTTTCCTTCGCCGTTTTCTCTCCCGAACGGCTCCGGAGTCTTCCCCCAGCGCCACCAACACCCTGGCCTTCGAATGCAGTTGCATGTTGCGGTTGCACCCTATTATTTGCTGCAACAGAGAGAGGTCAGGGAATAAGAGGAAATTCTCTACACCAACATGATTGCCTGAATATTGAATTTTTTTAGGTGCTAGTGAGTATTCACTAAAATGTGAAATTCCATTGATATGAATATCTAATTGCCTTAATTGCCTTACATCTGTTAGTCTTAAGAAATTATCTCAAATAAAAAGTCTGTCGGTAACGTGTGAAGTGTGAATATAAAGGATGGTGCACTGCATCTAACCGGGAGGTTCTAGGCTTCAAGAACTCTAAGGTGGCAGGATAGCCAGGTGGAATTCAGCTGTTGCTGAGGGGAGAACTCTAGGGATCGGCTGCTCTGGTCGGTAATTTTCCATGGTTTATCCGAACAACTTGGACGGAGCAGTATCAAACACACAAAGTAGCCACGGCCGCGACTTCTCCTTCAACTTCTTGGTCGTAATTCCATCGCTACTTACACACACATCAGGACACCAGTCCGAAGCTTAGAACTTGTACCGGCTAGGTGAGTGCCCCGCTGATGAGAGATACCATGATGAGACAAACCCCGCAAGCCGACCACTCCAAAGTTTTTGTTTAAATATCTTCACTTCTCTTCCATCACCTACATCTCACCACTTACATCACCTTACACCGTCTTCTTTACCAGTGGAAAAGATTACCAAGAAAATTGTGCGAAAGAAACAAATATTTTCCATGCCCCCTTTTTGATTTCACTCAGTCGTACTTTAAAAATTTGGGTCCTTTAGTAGCTCCCTGATTTGCGATCACAAGACACCCTCTTTTCGTTTGGCAGGAGATATTTTGCAAACCTTTGTAACTTAAGTACAGGAAACCATTCGAATTTATTTTGTCAAGTGTTTTTTAAAAAGGTTTTAAGCAAGCCAAGCTCAATATGCAGTGGCTGCCGAAGCAAATTGTGAGTAGCAACTTGTGTGTAGCAACCATTCGGACATTTTATTCTCCTTGATAGAAATAAATTTTAGGCTTACAGTCACGTTTTATATGATGTTGTACCTTATATAGACATTCCCACAGGCAAAACAAGCAACAGAACGTGGTAAACACTCCCATACTGATCACTTTTAATCCTCTATAGATGTGTCACTGATAACGATTGTCCTGAATGTCTCGTAGTCAAAGCCAGCATAAAATTTAAAACAAGTGTACATGCCAGCATAAATTTTCATGCATTTCTTTCAAAAGAAGACAGTGATATGATAATATTAATGAATGGGAAAAAAGAATTATATGCAATAGGGTCAATGCATTTTAACTGGTCCAGCATTGATCGCTCGACCATCAAGAAAAAAATTCATATTTTGTACGTAAATTTTCTTATGCTTTGGCTGTTCAAAAACATCTTTAATTTTTTATTGTACCAATTGTAGTTTACAAGTGGTGGCAATTTGTATTTCTCGCTGTGCGCCATTTTTCGCGTTTGTAGACATTTACTCTTTTCTAAATGACTAATCTCTGGATTGTTCTAACATTCTAAAATTAAAAGAATTGAATGTAGTATACTCTGGCCTACAAATGGAAATATTATTTTCTTACCTTCTATATTTTTATTTGGGAAATATTTGCAACCAAATCTCTGGAACGCGAATGAACGAAATTCGATTTTCAAAGAGTAATTTATCAAAGAAGGAATAGAAGCACAATCTACATTTTTGGTTTTTACGCATAAGAGTATAGTTATTTTTTGTAATATTTCATTGGTAAACAACGTACCACTTGTTAATTACATCCTCTTAAACATTAGAATTATGATTTTTTTCCAAATTTTAAACTGTAAAATCTCTGTTGGGGGACCAGATAAAATTGTGGAAATTTCACACATGCTAGATCGCAGTAATCCCAAAACTTGAGTAGAAATGTCAACTTTTAGATTTAACTCGAAGTAGTTTTCGAAAAATTGTAATCTTAGGCAAAAAAGCTTCATTTACACATTGAGGATAAGTTGTGAAAAGTAGTAATCATATTATTTTGATGTTATTTTAAACTAATACATTCAATGATTTAAAATAATTAATTATACTTCATTATTATTAACATAAAAGTGACCTAATAAATACTTCTCAATATTACGTATACTTTATTTTAAAACAAACTAACAACTTGACATCTACGTTTGTATTTGACAATACTGTCATCTTGATTTTAAAAAATGAACCGTCCAATGGAAAAAGTGGTAATAAAATATAACAAATAAATAAATTCAGCTTTTATTTCATTTTTTCGCATTCTTTTTCTTATTCTACTTATTATTTCTGAGCGTTTCTTCACATATACGCGTTCAGTAGTGTTAGGGGCAATGATCGCAACTGAATTTAATAATAACATGATGGACACAATGATTTCTCTTGTACAGGATTGTCCACAACATATATTCTTGTAATAATGAGCCAAAGGTATTCTCTAAGACTGTCCAAAAATATATTTTTTTGTATTTCATCTCGTGGTACTTACAGAGAAAAGTGATAATAGACTTATTCCTCAATAAAAGCAACTCTTTTTTGTCTGCATCAAAGTTAATTAACCTTAATTGACTTAATGTCCTTAGGAAAAGCTCCGTTTTATGGGAAACTTCATTAGTAAAATCACATATATAACACTTACACTTCATTTTGATATACGACCACACAAATGTGCACAAAGTCACAGAAACTAAACGTTTTGACGGAAAGGGAGACCACAAATTCAGAAGCCACAAACTCAGAGACGATTTTTCAAGACAGGCGATGCGGCATCGAATCACAGCCTTTGCTTTTGCCTGTGCGATATCAAAAGCGTGTTAAACATTCCACCCATCACGTTGGTTCTGTCAGATACGCGAGCCTTGGGTTGTTGATATTCTAAGAAATGATAAGAGGTGCGTTCTGGACCACTAAAATTGGATTGACCCAATATCATTTTTTGCGAATAGTGCATGTTATATTCTGAGAGAGAGAGAGAGAGAGAGAGAGAGAGAGAGAGAGAGAGAGAGAGAAGTATTCTCGTGGTCATTAGTCCATAGAGTGCATGCATTCATCTCGGGAGGTGGCAGTGTTCTTTTCTTGTTGAAACGTGAGATCCGAAGTCGACTCGTCAGCTTGTAGCGTTTCCTTCTCTACTTATCTTTCTTTAGCCGGTAAACGATTCAACCGGGGCATGCTGTAAGCGCCCAACATGTCTGATAGTGTATTGCATGCTAAAGTGTTTATGTGGACGCAATGGGAGAGGAGTGGAATGAAGAGGAAGGAAAAATCGTACGCGGTCCAAAGCTATTGAACTGGTTTGGAATTCGCCTGGTATTCACTGGAGAAATAATGGAAAACTATAGATCACAGCAATCTGCCGCTGGAATTATTTCCAGACAGTGGCTGAATTCTACTAGCTTTACAGCTAGTGTCGAACATCCACTCCCATTCGGGCTACAACCTACCGCGGTCAGAGACACTGCAGCGTCAATGGACGTTGTTACTGAGTCTTTTCTGCGGGTGGCACCTTCAGATTATGATTGTCTAGTGGTGCTTTATAATGGCACAGACTTTCTCGTATTCGTTATTTTTTGAATTTCTTTGTCATGACTGACTTTTCGACCAGCTGACGTCTCTCGTCGCTTTCACTCCAGCTGCCATCTCTCGTCGCCCAGAAGGGAGAATGATCCTATATTAGGATTAGAGAATAAAGCTGAAGAACATCTTACTTTTGATCTTTTTTAAGCATATTACCCAAAATGGTTTTGTAGCTGAACTAAATTCGCATCATTCATACTTACAACAAGTATTTTTGACGGCGATTACTATTTTGGAATTGTAATATTACCACTTTTTATCCCGTTTGGAGGTAACATTCAAGGTCATTGGGTGTTGGGAATTTTTAAATGGGAGTACAACATTATCCGCTGCTACGATTCATTGGTATGTCCACTGCCAGAGACTAAGAACGTATTTGAAGATATGCATGACATTTAGAAATTTTCATCACACGAAAAAAACTTTTAAAACAGTTTACAGCATCAGCGACGCCACATTCATCAAGTTATCCCAGATATTGTCTGTGGTAAGGTAAATTATATTTATACGACAGGATTACAATGAATGTATTCAGAACATCAATTAATAGTGCCTTGCCTTTGAAAACAGTTTAAAAAAAGTCATTTCTCGATACATAGTAAATCCGTAAAATGTCTGTTATAATTTTATTTTTTAAGTAAATGTTGTTTTTTTTATTTATCGACTTATTATTTTGACAACCCGTGATACCATTCTATCTCTATATTTAACAGCACATTTGTTTAAAAGTGATCACCATTTCAAATCGTTTCTCTTTTGAATAAATTCCATTATTTCTACATAGATAAATATTTAAATTTTAAAATTTTTTTGGTTGTTTGCAAAGCGAAGACACTGTTAATTGACTATCAAATCCATGTCTGGTCGCAAATACATAGAATGATTTTCAAAATACCATCCAAATGTAACATGCGATAGTCGAATTTACTCCCGTAAGAGAACATTTTCGGCAATGCAAGTGGCGTGTGCGTTCACTTGCCTTGTACCTCCGGTCGAGCACGGCCCCCTGCGTGTCCCTGGCGAGGAACGCGGCCACGCGAGCAGGGGCGCGCGCCGCCAGCAGGTAGGCGCGCTGCCCTTCCATCCAGGAGGCGTCGTGCCGCGAGGGAGCTCCTCCGGGAGCCTGGGAGCACGAGCGTCGGAAGCGTCTCGTACAGAGAAATCTCACTTAAGCGCCCACGAATGATTCAAGCATAAATTGGCCGCTTAATGAAGGTTATTATGTTACTCGTAGAATAAATCAAATATATCTGTGCGAATTGTTATTAAACAAAATTTGTTCTGTTCGAAATTATTAAATACCATTCTTGACGACATTTTAAGTAATCAAGATTTTGGATGATTTGTCTCGTCTCGGCTAAAATGTGTACTCAGTCTCTTGGTTGAGAAACTCACTTTTCGTCCTCGCCAAATCAACACAACTA